AATACATCATTATCAATCCTATTTTACAGATAGAAGGCTGAAAAGATGGGACATACATAGTGCAGCAGAAGAAAACACAAAACAAACTTTAAAACAGGATTTGAAACTAGGACAATTGTCCCAAGACTCCATGGTTTTAATTTTTTAAAAATTGTGTGTGTGTGTAATCTTTTCTTCTTATACTTCAATACTTGTAGCAATGGCTGGTATTCTTTTTTTGGACCTGAGTATTTCTTATCCTGAGCACTATTCACAGTGCCATTGAGGGGCAGAACTCTAGTTAGAATGGTACTGTTAAACTGTAGTCACACATTCTAAATAATCCACTTTTAGTGCACTTTCCAACTGGATTTTATTGTATGAAGGTGGATTATTTAGTGTGTGTTTGTGACCGCAGCCCCACTGTACTAATTAGTTACTTCATTGGTTTACTACCTGACTTCTTTCTGGCTTACTACTTGGCTACAAAATAAATATATAGACCCGCTTGCCCATTCCTCTTGACCCAACGAGAGCCCTTGGAATTCCTCTCCTTTGGGGAGGTTTGTTTGGATTCAGCACGTGCAAGGCCTTTTTTTTTGTTTTTTGCGACAGAGCACGCTCAGGTAGGGTTACTGACTTCCAGGTGGGGCCTGGAGATCTCCCAGAATTACAGCTGATCTCCAGATAACAGAGATCAGTTTCCCTAGAGCAGAGACATCAAACTCATTTGTCACGAGGGCCAAATCTGACATAGATGTCACTTTGTTGGGCTGGGTCATGCATGCCATAAAATGTAATGCCAGGTACTGGAGACATAAACTTTATAAAGGACACAGGGAAACCCAGCTAACAATATTATTTCTTACTCAAAATACAAACATGCTTAAAACATGAACACTGGTAAGCTCCAAGTTGGTGTGTTCTCACCGTGTTCACCTGCACATACCCACAATGAGCAGGACACAATGAAGGAATGGCAAAGTGAAAACGTTCTAGATCGGTAAGATGCAAAAATTTTTGAGAACTAATCAAAACAAAACCCAGACATATTGTATGTGTTGTGGATTGAAAGCAACTGATTTAGTGGGGGACCCACAAAATGTATTAAATCATATGCAAGACTAGATTTTTCCCGAAGGGATATCATAAAAGTGGGAGTGACACCCCTTGTCCACTTATACAGTGTGCCTACCACCCTCTACAACCTACCTTATTCAAAGTATGGGTTATACATAGATCAGAACATCACACTTGCCACCCTTCTGGTCTCTTTTAAATGTACAGAGAGTCACATGCACCTTGCACCTCAGGTTCTCTCTCTCTCTCACTCCCAGTGACATTCACAGACAGGGTAGTGCAGCTCCCTTTAATAATCAGCCCTCACTCACACAGAGCTATTGGGGCTGTGGCTCAAACACTGTTCCAACCACTCGTTGCCACCATTCGCTCACATCCGATAATATATGTATATAGACTGAGAAATTAAATTGTGTTTGTGTGCTTCTTTCCCTTAGACCCACAGCCCATAGGGATAATCAAAACAAAAAACTTTTACTTAAAAGAACAAAACACAGAGGAAAGCATAGTCTAAGAAACAACATTTCACTTCCTTTGAACTTTTGAACTGAGGTCCTATACCTACAACTGGGATACTTCAGTTACAAATTTACTATTTTCAGCCTATTCCAAGCAGCTGTTCTATACAGTTCCTGTCAGTCAGAAAAACCCTTTTCACCTCATCCCTTAAACTGAAATCTGCTCTCTACTGCTAACCCCTTAAATGTCATTTTTCAACTCCTGTTTTTCAAGTCTCATTCTCTCAACATTCTGTCCACTCTCACTGGTTGCTTTTGTAGAAAGGCAGAACCTAGCCTGTCCACCACAAGGGGTATCTTACATTTCCATAGAAATTAGTTACTTTTTATATATACCCAGTGGCACCTTTAAGACCAACAAAGCTTTATTCAACGTGTAAACCTTTGTGTGCAAAGCACACTTCTTCAGACAAATGGAATAAGAACTCCTCAAGGGTTACTTACAGGAAAAAAGAGGGTGGGGCAGCCATTAGGAGGGGCCACTCAGAGCCAAGAGGCATATGCAGAGCTGAAATTGGATCAGGTGACCGGTAAGATCAATGGATAGCAGCAAATTAGCATGTAAATACATAAGTTAACAAAACCAAACTGGGAAAAATGCAAATTACAATTTTGTATTGTAATATTCTGTGCCTAGTTTCCCTGTAGTAATCTACGGTTGCCATAAGCATAGATCTCAGCGGTTATTGTGATATTTCCTCCCTGACTGTTTAATACCACAAAGCTTGTTATAAATTCCAATTATATTTTAATAAAGTAATCCAGAATGATATGACTGCAATTTTTCTTTATTATGGAATGCAATTTGTCATTCTGACATTCAGGCTATCCCATTCACTTTTTCGCAGAAGAACTTGCCTTCTTGATCCTCTCCCACACTCAACCCTGTTCATTGCATTAAGGGTGTGGTGACATGGCAAGTTTACCATGATTTGTTCCCGCTGTAGATCTGATCAGGAATATTTTTTTCGGGTTGGGATGACCACACATCCCTCCCTGAACTGCTTGCATCGTGCAACGAGGCTCCAGGCACCATTCAGATAGCCGTTTTTTTAAAAAAATTGGCTTTGCGCATGCACATATACACATGGCCAAATCACCGCTCCAACTGGGACTTGCCGTACTCCCCTGTTCTTGTAGGTTCCCCCCAAAAAACAGCAAATAAAGTTAACCAGCGACGTACAACTGAACGCTGGAGTCTATATGTGCGCTTGAACGTTTAAACATTGAATTTATTCAGCACAGGATTGCTCATGCGTTCAACGACGGAAGCTTGTAAAAAAAAAACATCACGAGAAGGACATTTGGATGACCTAGTCGTGATCATTGCGAGAGATGGCTGTCCAGATTGGCAAAATCGCAGATTCAAAATGCAAATATCCAGAAAGTACTTGATTTTCCGGATGTTGTAAAACTCGCTGGGACTGGGAGGATTGAGCGAGTGAGCCCACTTCGGTGCGGGAGACAGATGCGGCCAACTGATCAGCAACTTTAAATGTGGAGGGGAACAGTGGAGAAACCCGATCAAAATGACCGTGTGGCCTAAGTGTCCTTCTTTCTTGTCAGCCTTGAGCTGCATGCTTACCACTCTCTGGTGGAGAAACAGAGAGACAGAAGGGCTTGTTTGAATACTAAGGAGAAGCTCCACTTCCTCCTCCTCCTCCTAGTTGTCTGAGTGTGCTTGGGCTTAGCATCTTCTAAAGGTAGCAGTAGCTCTGAGGCAATAAGTCATCCTTTGATGAAGTGGCATTCTAGTATCACAGTAGCTGAGAACACTGCTGCAAAATGTGAAGGAAATTAATCCCTCTACTCACATTTGTTGTTGTTGTTCAGTCGCATAACTTGTTTTAGCCTCACTTGCCACCCTTCTGGTCTCTTTTCAAATGTACAGAGAGTCACATGCACTTTGCACCTCCGGTTCTCTCTCTCACTCCCAGTGACATTCACAAACAGGGTAGTGCAGCTCCCTTTAATAATCAGCCCTCAGTCACACAGAGCTATTGGGGCTGTGGCTCAAACACTGTTCCAACCACTCGTTGCATGGTGGTTGCCAGCGTAGGCTGAGTCCCAGTTGTACAGTGGCTGCTGTTGTCAGAGGGCCAGGCCTAAGGGCACGATAGCCACTGCTGCCAAGCCAGGCTAAATCGTATTGGTAGTGGGTTTCTAGTAGTTGCCACTAGGCCTGTCATTGGCAAGTCCTCTTCCACCAGGGGACATGATTATCGGGGGAGTGGTCTTAGCCTCCCAATCTATTCCTGCTCTCCCTCCAACAGCTTTGCTTTCCAGAAATCAAGGCCTGGAATGTGTTGCCAATGTCAAGGCCTTGGCTGTGTTGCCAAGCGACCCCCAACAGCCAGAAAGTCCAGTGGTCATTCTTAAAGCTACATAAGAGGTTTCTGTTCTTTTGAATAACTCTATTGCCACTGGACTCTAAATTTGTTCTACTGCTTCAGACCAACATGGCTGACTACCTGGATCTATCCTGGAATTCATCTCCAGTGTACAGCGGTCAGTTCCCCTGGGGAAAACCGATGCTTTGGAAAATAACAACTTTGTAACGTGGATTCTATGGCATTATATTCCACTGAGGCCCCCTCCCCTCTCCTCCCCAGCTTCTGCCTCCAAAATCTCCAGGAATTTCACAATGGCAGAGCTGCTAACCCTAACTCAGAGGAATGGTGTGTAATGCATATTTTATTAGATTTCACAGAATGCGAAATGCTGTTTTGTCTCCATGACCGTTTGCCCAGCTGACTTGGTCAGTGTTGGATTGAGTGTATCTTATTGACTGTGCTGCTACATTTTTATGGTCCACAGAACTGTACAGTTTCTGACACGGCTGAAATTTTGTAAATTGGTTCCAGTGCTGTCTTTTTACAGTGTATTTTGATTTGTGAAAGTTGCTTCAAGAACAGTTATAACTTTTAAATTAGAAGCTGGTTTCTTCCCCCCCCCCCCCTTAAATACATATATAACGAAGAGGAAATACACATTGACACTGGAACACCAATAATTCCTTGCGCGGCGGCGAACTATAAACGTGGAAAAAAGCACTAACCCCACTGAACTTAGAATGACTTACTTCCGAGTACAACATGCATTTATTCGGGCTATCACAGCATCCCAATTACAAATGGACTATTTTAAGAATGGTGTGGGTGGCGGTCTTCGGGCGAGAACAGGAGCCTGATTGGTCGCTTAATTCCGGGCGAGAGTGCAAGGTCTGACGTACCTCAAGCAATCTCCAACACACAAGGACGCGCCGGGCCGAGGTAGGGCGGTGCACGTCAGTCAGCGTCTCTCTCTCTCTCTCCCTCCTCTCGCTGCCGCGATCTGAGGTGCGCGCGCCGTTTGCCGTTAGGACGTACTGGGGCGGCGCGCACGCGCACTTGCGAAAAACGAGCAGACCAGGTGGAGTGGCGCATGCGCGAGAAGCCCGTCAGAAAGGCGGGTGGTCCTGATCAACAACATGGTGACTCGGGGGCGCTATAGGTGCCCATTCCAAAGGGTGTAAGAGGCCCTGCCTTTCCCCGCTACCTCCTTTCTACGGTGCTGCGTTCACCATGGCCCGGCACAGGAACGTGCGCGGCTATAACTACGACGAAGGTAGAGAGCTGCTGCTGAGGCTTAAACTAGGCGAACAGCTGTCCCGAGAAGGCGCCTCGACAACCTGGGCCTGCGGGGGAGGGGAAGAGAGGAGAGTGTTAGTGACGTCACCATCACGCCTGGGTGCTGTAAGCCTGCGGGGGGGGCATAAAAGGAAACGAGAGGAGGTGGGGGCGAGGAAGGCTAGTGCGGGGTGGCCGCCGGAGGATGAGTTATGTGAGGAAGCCTCCTTATGTCCCAGACCCCCTTTTCTCAATCCCCCTCTGCTTATATACGTCCAAGTAGTTCGTTTCTTGCGTTCTGTCAAGCTGCTCCCCAAGAAAGTCATTTTAAAGTCCAGTTGGGCTCGCTTGACAGGAGGGTGTTTATTTTGGACGTAGTGTATTTTGTCCTCGTTCAGATTAGTGAAATTCATTCTGGCAGTGTGTGTTGATCGGCCCACTGAGGGTATAGGCATGTAAACCAAGAACCCCAAACTAGATAGGCCTGTCCAAGGATAATAACCACAATAAGTGTAACTCTAACCCTGATTAGAGGGTGTTCAGAACAAATGGGGTGTGGCTCTTCATTCATGACCTGTTGTTTGTAAACTTTACAGAGGCCTCTACTGAAAGGAAAGGGTTACATTCCTGTTTGTGTCATAGCAAAGCCTTCACTGGAGTGTATAAAGTACTTTGCACACTCTGCTTGTGTTAAATATTCCATATGATGAAGGGATTTAAAGATGGTGGTTGGTTTAACTACTTAAAAGCCTGACAAGTTTTAAGGCAGCTGTTGTGTTTGGATTATGTTCCCCCAGTTTTTAGTAATGCCTTTTAATGACAGATAATGCAGTGTGTAATTCTCTGTTCAGCTTCTAAGTTCTGTACTTAATGAGTAGAAGAATAAATTATTCAAAGTGCTATAGTTTTTCTGTTATAACACCAATATATCAGTACTCCTCTGTGTGTAACAATGCTGTCTAATAAGTAAGAGTGCTATGCTTGGAACCTAAAGCATACTGTAAAAATGGAAAGAAATATCTAAAAGATAAAATTTCCCACATAATAACAGCTCTATATAGTTTTAACTTTTCTTTCAAAACCATATTCAGGAATCCAAAGTTGGATGTCTGGAGGGTGACTTGATTTCTGGTTTCTTAAAACGTTCCTTGTGCAAAGAAAAACACGATTGAACAGTAATTGCTGATGATACAATAGGTCCCAAGTAGTAAGCAAATTCTTAGTTCAGTGCTGGTTTGTGTGCATACTACTACAAGTAAAGCACACTTAGCCAAAATGATATCTCAGTAGAACAGCTCCAGAGCAAGTGTATTAATTAAGATGTCTTGCAGTGCTAAGTATGTATCAGGATTTGTCAAGCTATTATGCCTTAATTGTGATTTATTTATTTCAAAATTTATATCCTGCCTTGCTGCCCTTACAAGGGCTACCAAGGCAGCTTACAATCGAAAACATACGAGATAAAATTATGTCATAAAACTGTTAAAATCAACCTGTTCTCTCAAATATATATCATTTAAACAATTTTAAAAGAAGTTAAACAGAGAGCTAAAATACATACAAAACACGAAACATTAGTTAGGAAGATGGGACCATTGAGGAAATGCCAAAAGAAACAAAAAATCTTCACCTTCTGGCAGAAGATGGCAGAAGATTCAGTGTTCAGAATCAAAAATTGAATTGATTGTAAGGCATTCTTCCACTGATAAGGTGATATGTATAGCGCTGACTTTTATCCAGTATTGTATTGCATCTGAAGAAACTGCTTCAGTAGCTTTTGCAGACAGTAATTGCTTTGTTATGCAGACCATGAGTTGATTCCATTTCAGATGCATGAATTTCAGACCCTACTCATGAGTCTGGTTGATATGTTACCTTTCACCCAATCTATCAAAGTGTCTTTGGGGTTACCCTATGTTGATGAGAGTAAATGATTATTTTGGCTATGCAGCAGCTTTGGAGATGAGTGGTTTATTTGGATGGTATAGTTAATGTAGGCCTAGAAGCAACGAACATAGATGCAATGAACATGAAGTTGAGCAAACTTCAGAGGACAGCGGAGGACCGGAAGGCCTGGCGTGATCTGGTCCATGGGGTCGCGAAGAGTCGGACTCAACTGTGCGACTGAACAACAACAACAAAGAAGCCAGTGATACAAAATATGAAATTTCCAATTGGATTTTTTAGGAGTATTAACATTGATCTTACTATACTGTTTGTTTGCTTCAGGTCAATGATATATTTGTAAAAATAAATTCCTGCAATTTCAATCAGTAATTGGAGTTTGGAATATGCTGTAGCTGGTGCCATTTTAGAGATTTAGAAAACATTCTAGATAACTGATCATAGTGTGTGTAAGTGTATACATAAAAATCCAAGGAACAAGAAGTGTCTTAATTATATTTGATTTACCCCAAAGAAACAGCTCTTAAAATGCATTTGCTTTTGCCAGTATTGTGCATCTTACGCTGCTGTTGCCAGTATACTCAGGTATACTGATTTTGAATACACTGAATTTAAATTCAATTCTTCTTAATGCAGGTTCAGCCTTTGGTTCCCTATAGGCATCATTTTACATTTTGCTTGTTTTATCCTAAATTCTGAGAAGGTAGAGAAAACTGAAAATAATTGTAATAGGTTAGTTATTGAGTTAGCTGAATAGAATAATGTTAACAAAATATTACCTTCATGTAATATGTAGTCTTCTTTCCTCATTCACAACCCCTTAATTTATCCATCATCTTTTATTTTACAAACCAGGGGATTTGAATGCTAAATTAAATAAAGTGGGAAGTGGATAATCGGTTATTTTTTTAGAATTACATGGGGGTTTGAATAAGATCTAGTGGATTGTTTACCCTGATCCACTACATCCACATGAGTCTCCAGTAGATTAGTGTTTTTCTTCAAACGATTGAGAGAATTATGGAATATACATACCCCCATCCCCACCTCTTCTTTAAAAGTATAATTCAATTCAACTTTGATGGAATTACTTCCTTGTACGATCATCATTCCCTGCTAATATTTTTCTTGTAGTGATAGAGTTTTGCTTGATACTTCAGGAAGTTGTTTGACACAAACTAGTACATCACAGTTACTTCAAAAAGATACTGTAAACTAAGCTTCTATAACCAATGCCCATACATTTTGTGTGTGTGTAGCCTTTTGAAGAAAAAGAGAGAATTCATGAAGAATCCCAAATAGGCTAATTTGTAGCAAATCTTTTCAAAGTATGGTTCATGGTTTTGTTTCTGCTGAGGATTTAGGTTTTATAAAGGCTGACTTATTTACAATGCTGAAAGCTTGTGATTACCAGCCCAGCCATTGGAGCTCACCTCCCCCCCAAAAAAAAATTGAAATTTTGTAACACCAATAACGTTTTGTGCCAATAAATCAGATAATGCAAATATCTATAATTTTTAATGGTTGAGCATGGGCTCAGAATTGTTTGTATAGAATCTATGGCAATTAAATTCAGCACTCAAAATGTTTAAGCATCCTTATTTTTCATTAATATTCCTAATTTGCATGCCTTAATCTGAACTTCCTATTTAATATTTGTACAGTTAGGAAATGCATTTTAATTTTCTGTTGAAACCTGTAGTAAGACTTACTGGATCAAGGATGAAACCAAGAAACCAACAGATCCAAGGATGAAACAAGAAAACAAATTGAGAAGATACAAGGAAGCTTGAAAAAAGAGACATTGTATTCAGAAATTAGTTTCTCTTCAGAAATTAGTTTCTCTTAAATCAGAGCTTGGAACAAGAACTAACGTTCTTTTTAATTTAGGTCAGCATACCTTGTGATATGTAAAATAGATGAGAAAATTATGTAATCAGTTATAAGCAAATTAATGTTGTGTTTGTTTCTCAGACTTCGAAGAAGATGATGTCTATGGACAGTCTGTAGAGGATGATTATTGTATTTCACCTTCAACAGGTTAGTTTTAATGCTCAAACAATATTTATTTCTTTACTACATTTTTATCCTGCCCTTCTGAGGAGCTCAGGACAACATACATGGCTCTTTTATCCTCCATTTTATCTTGACAACGAAAGGTAGGTTAGGCTGAGCGAAAGTGGCTGATCTAAGGTCACCCTGTGAGCTTCATGGAATAGTGGGTATTTATACTCTGGTGTCTCCATTACTAGTCTAAATAATACCCCGCTGTACACTGCATTGGTCAGGCCGCACCTGGAGTATTGTGTGCAGTTGTGGAGGCCTCAGTTCAAAAAGGATGTGGACAGAATGGAGTGGGTGCAGAGGAGAGCAACAGGGATGATCGGGGGTCTGGAGACTAAGCCCTATGAGGAAAGGCTGAGAGACCTGAGAATGTTTACTCTGGAAAAGAGGAGGTTGAGGGGGACATGATTGCTCTCTTTAAGTATTTGAAGGGCTGTCAGAGGAGGGTAGGAAGCTGTTCCTGTTGCAGCAGAGGATAGGACTCGCAATCATGGGTTTAAATTAAGGGTGGAAAGGTACCGGCTGGATAGTAGGAAAAACTTTTTTACAGTAAGAGTTGTGCAACAGTGGAATCAGCTGCCTAGAGAGGTAGTGAGCTCCCTCTCACTGGTAGTTTTTAAGCAGTGTCTGGACAAACACTTGTCAGGGATGCACTAGGCTGATCCTGCATTAGCAGGGAGTTGAACTAGAAGGCCTGTATGGCCCCTTCCAACTCTGATTCTATAACTTCTATGATTATATGAGATGATGTTGTTCTCTTGGCAGTACTTTAAGAGTTCCAACTGTGAAAAGGCCTTTTACTTTGATGCTAGTAATAAATGACAGGACATACAAATCCTGCAGTGTAAAACCAAGGAGAAGGGAATATAGGTCAAAATAATTAAAATGTACCCAAATTTATTCTCAGAGGTGGAATCATGAATAAATTCTATTTAAATCATAGTCTTCCTTTCTAAAGTTCTGTGTAGATTCCTGTTCTTAGTATCAAATCATCTAACTGCTTTATAAAGTTATAGTCATATAACTACACAAAAACAAGTTGTCTTAATCATGATATTTAAGTGAAGTCCTTAAACCTACCTTGTGGGTGTTTATAAGTGAAAGTTGAATGTTCAGCAATAAGATGCTATAAAAAGATGAACTGAATCTGCAGAAAAAAAGCTATTTCTAGTTGTTAGGCTGATAGTTTTCAGCAGTGCAAATATTTAAAATTTTTATTTAGAATTTTTCTAAATGTCATAAGAATACAAAGTATGCAGGTGATCTGACAGTCAATAAAACAACCGCTGAACACAAATGAAACTATGGTACTGTTGGTTTATGTTGTAGCTGCTCAGTTTATCTATTCAAGACGAGATAATCCACCATTTGCTGAAACAGAAGAATATGGCTACAAAGATACCGAACATAGCAATTACAGTGTCTCTAGTCATCAGCTAACAGAAGTTGAAAAAGGTAAGCATGCACAATTAATTAATACTTAAGATCACTTCATGCATTTTAATTTCATGTATCTGTTAAGTGTCTTGTCCAAATAATGTAATTTTGATTAACAAAGTTAATTACCATTAATATATATAACTTAATCTGTGATGAGTTCAAGGTGATGGGGAGATAATGACTGTTTAGGAAATTCTCCCACTATTTCATTATAACAAGGGACTACTTTCAAACTGGGTCGGTAACTTCCTTCTGACAAAGCCCCGAACTTTGGAAGCTTAGTGCTGTTTTTCAATTTCTCTGTGAGTGCTGACTGTCAAACTAGAAGCTGTTCAACTATTCCTGAATCTGAATGGTTCAATATGTAGCAGTGGCTGTATTTTTTCTCTCTTTTTCCATGCTGTATGGTAGTTTGTGGGAGAGTGAATTGGGGTTGTGAATGCATTCTGCAACTCTAATTTTTTTCTTCCTTGTTCCAGGATGGTATACATTTTTAGGCATTCTGTGTAGTGTAACAAAGTCCTTGAAGAGTGTAGGAGAAGAAAAGTGCTTTTGTTCCTGATTGAACATGGTCTCTCCTGTATTTGTCTTTGCTTAGAAGTGGTCAGTGTTGTGATAGAGAAATGCAGGCTACCTTCATTAACACTCAAAGATGCCCATACCTCAGACAAAACATTCTTTCCTGAGCAATAAACTCCTCAGATTTCAGGCTGAGAGAAGAATGGTTTTCCTTTATGGAGACAAATAGGCAGAATGAAGATGACCATTTGCTCACTTGCCAGGAAAGGACAAGATGGATGGCTATTAGGATATCCTGAGTTGGATCATAAAAGTCTGGGGGGATGTGTGCCTGGATATGATTGGAGAAAAGATGCAAGGCATGACATGTGGGAACTTAGACCCAGTTTCAGGATAGGACAAATTGAAACCCCTTCCATCTTGGCTAGGAAAGGTTGAAAGGTCTGACACATGGAGAGAAAGTGGGGAAGGGGCGGGGTGGGAAATGGAGTGAAGTGTGTTTTGACCACCCACTGTTTTCAAAGTTCCACTGGGCTTCTGTCCATTCCCTGGAAGAGAATGGCAAGGTAATACCAGTGACTGTGCAAATTAGCCCTATGTTTTTATTTCTTTTCTTAGTTGTCTTAACACCTTGTAGCATTTTGATAGATAGTTTCAGTGTTCTTGTGGTCTAGTGAATGGAGACTGTATTTTAGTAAACAAGAGGGGGGCCTTGTAAAGCAGACCTATAGACAGGAGGGAGACCTGCAAGGACTTGCAGGGGGCATCTCATTTCCCCTCTCCTACTAATTCCTTTTTCTCTCCTTTGGCGAACCCCACATGCTCTTCCTCTTTCCTGGTTCCTTCCCACCAACTACCCAACCTACCTTTATCTACATCCGTATTCTTCAGCTTTCCTCCTTCCCCTCTCTATGGGGGAAAAATATGGTGTAGTTGCTTGGTGCTGTCTGAGCTGGGCCCTGTTTCAGCATGGGGAACTTGGAAAGACTTGCAGGAGGTACCTCACTTTTCTCCTGTATCTCATTCCTGGACTATTTCCTCTTTCGCTCCTCCTGGCGGCCTTCACCTTTCCCTGCTTCCTTCTCTCCTTCCCACCCACCAAATTACCTTTTATTTGCCCCCCCCCCATTTTCAGCTGTATTTATTATTTATTTCATTTATACATTGTCTTTCTCCACAGTGGGGGTTCAAAGCAGCTCACATCATTTGCTTTTGTGCTCTTTTCCCCTCGCAACAACTTTGTTGAGGTAGGTTAGGCTAGGAATCTGTGATTGTCCTAACATCGCTCAGTGAGCTTCCACAAAAGAATGGGGATTTGAATCTGGCTCTCATAGATCCTAGTCTGAAACCCTAGCCGCTACACCACAGTGGTTTTTGTGGAGTGGCTGTTGTCAAAAAGTAGCAAGCAGGCAGTCCTGTGTGAGTCATACAAATTAGGTAGCAAGTCGCATGGTGGTTGCTGCAAAGTGTGGCTGCAATGAGTCTTCCCTCAGAGTCCAGGACAGTCCTGGAAAGGGCCCTCTCCCTCCCCTAGCCTTTTACTGACAAGATAGTATTGCCAAGGCTGATAATACTGTTGCGGTTGCCTTGCGGCAGCTACTTAAAACTACAGACATCCCTCTTATCATTTTTGTGGGGGGATTAACTCCCCCCATTTTTCATTTTTATTTTTTTTAGATTTCAGATTTTTCTGCAAACCTTGGATATATTTCAGCAGATGGTCTGTCTTGTCTGTCCATGGCCCTAATCTCTGGATTTAAGTAGCCACATTGAAAATTAGGTATATTGATAAAGATCTTTTTCCTTTTAAAGATGTCAGATTGTGTTTAAAAAAAGTCTTCACCCAGAGGTCTTACTGCTTGTCTGTGCATAGGCCAGAACTTTTGATGGGTTACAGATAGCTAGCTTGCTGGCTCCTGCATGCTTGCTCGAAGGGAAAGGCAGAGCTTGAGTGGTGGTGTGCTCTCTTTCTCTCCTCCCCGACATGTCGCCACTGCTTTTTGGATACTCTCTGATGAGGAGAGGAGGAAGGAGGCTGGAGGAGGATCAGGTTATTACAGTCAGAACCTGTAAAGTTTACAGTATCCAGGACTCGGGGTGGATTTAGGATTGCAGAATTTATACCTTGCAGTCGACTAATTCTTTCTCCCCAAGTCTTTTTCTTTTTGTCTTCCAGTTGCCCTTGGTCATTAGCATGCTTGGTCCTTGTCAGGCTGCTTGTCCCCCCTCATTCTAGCCTCATTCTATCTAGCCCAGAACTCCACAGATTAAATGGGGTTAGATATGATAGCAGGTCTCTCCATCAACTATCTCAGTGGGCTGAGTGTTCTGGTGGCTGCACTGTTGTTGCAATATCTATGTTGAAGCTGGGAACGTCTTGGCCTGAAAAAAATTGTTGTGGTAGCAGCTATAGCAGGGGTCCCCTACCTTTTTGAGACTGCAGGCACATTTGGGATTCTGACACGGCATGGTGGGCATGGCAACAAAATGGCTGCCACAGGAGGCTGAGGCAGCCACAAAATGATTGCCACAGCTTAACTTCAGTAACACAGCGCAGATCCTTATGCTGTGGTGGCAGCTGCTGCTGAAGCAATTTTTTTAAAAAAAATTGCACAGCCTATCAGAAGCCTTGCTAGGCAAAAGCCCTACTTGGTCCCACCCACTTCCTGAAACACTTGGCAGGTGCGAAAAAGGTATTGGTGGGTGCCCATGGTACCCATTGGCACCATGTTGTGGACTCCTGAGCTACAAAGCCCCAAGAGGGAAAGAAAAGTTTCTGCAGGATCCATGTGTTATCTGCCTATGGAGGTTTGCACAAAGGCCCCTAGTTTATGCTAGTGTGTCCTTGATCTCAGTCAGCATTTGTTTCTTAACCAAGGGTTTCTAATATCATTATAACAAATAGCTTTAAAATATTGTAAGCATTTCTCTATCTTGGTCTTTAACCTCTAATCCAGTTAACATGTACATTTATGTTACATTTGGGTTGGGAAAATTATGGTACAATTGGAATTTGAGACCCACTTTCTTGGGTCCTCTATATCTTGTAACCTTTAAATACTCTACATTTGTTAAGAGTAACATAGTGTCTCTTGCCTGATTAATTACATTTTTGGCATTCTGTTATTGTATGGGTACTTCCAGACAGCTGCATTCTCTATCAGTAGTAGTGCCACACAGGGTTTGTGTGTTGGGAGGGCAAACGTTGTGCCAACTAGTGTGTAGTTATGACTCTGACATCACTATCTTGGCACACCTGCACTAATACTAAGAATACGTTTGGCTTAGCAGAACACTCTGTGTTTTCTGTGTGGGTTGTAATTCTAGGCATGCCTATTTTAACAAGTCTATCACTGACAAAGACATCAATCCCAACATGGTACTCAGCATCTTTGTTTAACTGAATGTATTTTATTTCTGTCAGGCTAGTGTTAGCTAACTTTATTTTTTCCACTTGTAGGATTTGTTCAAGTTTCTATATTTCTCTAAAAGTAGTTAATGGAATGCCTTCTAAAAGGATTTAGATTTAAGATTCAGTAAGCCATTCACGATGCAGAGAATGTTAAAGACTTGTAGTTAGCAGATTTTTATTAACACTTCACTCAGTGCTTACATTTAGGGTATCCATCTGCTTAGTCCTGAAGCTTGAAAAGATACTGTTTATCTTAAAAGTTAATTACAGTATCTGTAGATGCTTAAAATGGACTGTTAAATGATGCCACATTGACTTATCAATTTTGTTGAATAACTTAAGCCTGAATATATCTGCATTATCTCTTTGGATTGAATGCTGTTCTTGTTGATAGTATCTGCATTGTTAACTATGCAGTCTTTTACAAACTCCTGAAAGGTGATAAAATTATTATACTGTTCGGTCAAATAAAGAGCACTCTAGGGAAGGGATAATAAGCCTTGTTCCTGGATGAATATGGCAGTGGTTTGGCTAAGAGAAACTAGAGCCGCTCTCTTCAGGTTTAAGCTCTGAATGTATTTCATGCCATTGTATGAAACTTCTTGTCCTGAACAACTTAAAACTATTTTGTTTTAGTTCAGCTTGATTCATGCCTTGACCACATGAGGGAATTACTTGGGGAGTCTGTGCCAGAGAAGGTGATGGTGGAAGCAGTACTGAACAGCAAATTTGATGTGCAGCAGGCTTTGGATTCTGTGCTTGCACAACTTAGCAAGCAAGATACGAAGATCAAGAATGAAGATACTGTAATTTCAGGAAAGGCAACAAAAGGTATGCTTGTGCTTAAATTTCATGGGAGTTAGTGTGTGGCTCTTCTCAGCAGGGGGCAGGCTGTGTATGAGTAATATATGAATAGTCGAAACAAAATGACTTAAGGCAGCTTAAACATTTTACTTTTCTTTGTAACTAAATTGAAAGGCTAAATGGCATATATAAAAAAACACCTGTAAAGGATGATTAATATGCAGTTAAGCCTTCACCTTGAATGGAGGGTGCAGGTACCATGCAGGTAAGCCTTCATTTTGAAAGGATGCTTCTATAAATATAATTAGCAGTATCAAGTTGCTTTTAAGTAAAATGTTAGGTAATGGTGAAGTTTTTAAAAAGTCACTTCTAATGCTATTGTAGGGATAATAGCAATCATTTCTGTAAAATGTAATATTTCTAGCTTAGTAGTTATAAGCTTTTACTGCAGGAAAACTGTGATAAATGTAGCATAATTAATTTGAATTTGTGAGCTCATGATTTTAGACATCCAAAGCTTGTGTACAACTAAAAATAGTTTTAATAATGTTTGTTAATTAAATGCCTTTTCATGTTTCTTTTTCTTGATTTTGCTGTTGTCCTTCCTACCTTGTCTCAAATTGAACTGTGTTTGCTGTGACCTTGCATCTGTCTTGGAATTGTTGGCTCATGTAAGGTAAGGCTTATTCTGCTCAGAAATGTTTTCTGAAGTTAACTTGACTAATTTGTTGCAAGAAACGCCAGACTCTGCTAGTTATTGTTTTGGTCTCAGTGATCCCATAGTCAGATTGGAAAATCCTTCTAATTCTTCAATTGACGAAAGTTTCCTCAGACCTAAAAAAGTCAATATACCTTCAGCCAGAAAGAAAACCTTAAAATGTTCTTGTAAGTCATTGGGATCTCTTCCTGTCCCACTTAGTGACATTCTTAATGACAAATCACTTTATGAATCAGTTAACAAGCAGACCACCCTCCCACTAGTTGACAATATTAGTTCAAGCCAGAGATTTTGTAATAAATGTGATGCATGCTTTAGTTCCGGAGTTAAATTCCTGGAAAAGAATCCATCAGGAAAGTCTTCTTGGGATCAGGCTGAATTGAAAGGTGTTAAGGACTTGAAAGCCTTGATAGGTCAAGAAACAGGTGACTCTTCAGATGTCCAAAGTACTGCACTAGTTGTCCTCCAAAAAAATGCAGATCTTGATAGCAAAGACAGATTTGGTAGTCCTTCTGTGTTAATAAGTGATTTTGGGAATTTGATGCTAGACAATAAGATAAGTCATCAGCTCAGTAAAAAGACTGACAGTTTCAGAAATAGTCCATCCTTTTTGGGTAAAAAGGACAGTTTTCAAGAATACAGTAGTTGTCCTTCAAGGGCTAGTGGCTCAACATTTTCAGCTTCTGAAAGTCCATCGCTGGCTGATCTCCTGCGGGAAGACCAAGGGAATACCTCAGATAAAACTTACTCCTTATCTGATCTTTGTAGTGAGTCATTACCTTGCTTTGCTGATATGGACTTACAGCCTTCACGACAACTAATCAGCCGACCTCAGATATCATCTGGAATGATAGAACTGTCAGGATCTTTATCTTCTCTGACTTTCTCCAGGGCTTCTCCAGTTAAAGAGCTTGAGAGTCTATCGCTTTCAGATTTAATTGCAAAATCTATTGAATTTGATAAGCATCATACAGCAGCCAACCCTTCTAAGTTGCATGTAGCAAGAACAATGCCACCAACAGTTGTAAATTCAGATATTGATCTAAGCGTTCTTATTAGAAAATCATCAATATCTCCAGAACCCATAAAAGTAGAATTGGATACCCTATCCCCCAAAACTGAAGTTTTGTTTTCAAAGGAAGGGCGGCAACTGATAGTACCTAAAGGAAACAAGAAAAGGAAAGCAAGGTTCAGATCATGCCTCTTGGGAGGTGCTGGTTCATGGACAAAAGTACTGTCTGCAAGACCATCAGCCTTTGCAATAACTTTATGTCTTCATTACCCTCCAAAGAAGAGATACAAACATCAAATTGTTAGTCTTCATAAGGCTTTCTTATACAGCAAGCAGATCCAGGAAGTAAAGATTAATGAAATTGGCCCCTTATCAGAAATCACTCCATTTGACTTCAAATCACCATCTCCTGATGACATTGTAAAAGCAGGTCAAAAGAGAGCCTTCACCAGATGATTATATTAAGAACCTGTGCAAATTTTTATTTAAAAATATTTTATACGTTTATGTATTTGAACTGTAAATTAGATTTGGTTTCTGAAATACAAGCTTGAGTCTTTATATTGGGTTAGAACTTTTGTAGTAAAAATTTTAAACCATTACACTGGATTTCAGAATTTTTTTATTTTTTTACTCTTTGATTAGTAGAAGTAAATATTTTTTAAATATCTGTGTTGGAGTAAGATGTAATAGTATCAAATCTTTATGAAAAAAAAGAAACATATTTTCAGGAAGAAATAGGCTAGCTGTAATAAAAATTATGACTTCAGGCCCGCTTTTTAAAGCTGTATTGGGGAACAAATCTTTACAATTATATCTCTATGAATTAATTTGCCATAGATAATAGTTTCACTGTGTTTGATATAGCTATGCTGTGGCATCATACAGCTTTTTTATCTATCCTTTTCAGGGAACACTGATAGCTTGTAAATGCATATTTTTCTTCACAAATTAAAACTCCCGAGACATAAGCAAGTTAATGCTGACTCTAGTAGTAAACTTTAGGTGACCAGTATTTTATTTATCCGGAAACGTAATGATAATAATTTGTCACCATTATTTAGGATGACTTTTGTTTCCTCTTAATAGTCACAGCACATGTAAAGTAACAGGTTCTGTGTTTGCCAGTTGCCACATGCCAGTTTGACTCACTAATAAAGACATATAGCAGCCTTATCAGAAACATGTTTGCTGAATGCACAGTCTGTTTTTATAGGCACATTAATTTTTCACATGTACCTTAAAATATAATAAGATATTACGCCAATGAAACACCATTTCTTTATTGTCTAAAGAGAACCTTTGTCCAAATGTGGAAATGTTAAATCAGTAACAAAAATACCTCATTCTTTATTGTTTGCTATATGCTATAGAATATTCTTAGTTTGAGCACCGTTCCTTAGATTTAATTTAGGTAATGCATTTTTATTTTTTTTGTCTTGTTACTTTCTGGTGCTGTCCATACTTTTGTTTTTATAAACAACTGTTAAGACTTTCACTGTGTATTATGGTATCAGTATTCTGAATGGATAACATGTATTACAATATCATCAGTAAAACCCTAACTTTATGTTAATTAACCCAAGCAGCTGCTATACATTTGAGAATGAGTGGTCTTAATGCACTTTAATGCTATGTCAAAATGTAGTAATTTTGACATATAAACTAAAATATAGGACATTTTCTACATTTGAGGGTATGCTTTGTCATTTTCGGTAGCTTGACACTGTCAGCATTCAGGGGATATATTCAATACTTCTATTTCTAAATGTTTGCTACATCTTTTTCTTGTAACTTTTGATACATTTTCTTACAGTTATCCTGTATAATTAAATGGGCTTCCAGTCCCCCACTTTTTTTTCTGGCATAGATCTCAAGTTGGCTGCAGCTCTGTGGGCTATGAACACAATTAAGGGAAGATTCTATTTTGACATATGTGGGAAAGAGACCATGGTGATCCATAGTAGGCGTGATTTAGGAAGGTTTGAGGTTATAGGGGGTTCATTAATCACCTATTTGACCATACCTTTAATATATAAAATATTTAATATGGCATGTCTGTTCAGATTCTGAGAAGGCCAATGAATATATGTAAATGCACTGTACATTTAAATACTGGTATGATAATGTAATTCTTAATACAAGTGTACATATTTACCATAACGATAATATTTGACCAAAGATAAAACTTCATTTTCTTAAATTTGTTGTTGTATTTCTCATTCCTGGAATTGTTGTGAGCTGTTCAGTTTGCGAATTATTACTGTTTGCTGGTAAATATTCTTTTTTTAAATACCCCGGGCTTGATTCATTTCTTCTACAGGTAGTGCTATGGTTAAAATAGGGACATTGACTTGAGGCTTCAAGGATCCATCTTCTTCCTGGACAGCCATTGGCTTTGTGCACCGACAGATTGCAACCTACTGGCTGTTGATTAGTGTGGGAGGCTGAGAAATGGTTTGCATATAGAGATTCACCTCTCCCTCTCTTCCACAGGAGATAAAAAATAAGGCCAAGGCCGATGGTGCAAAATAAGGTAAAAATATATTTTATTACTCAGTTTTGGGAATTTTAACTGAATTTATTTATTTATTAAACTTATATCCCGCCCTGCCCCACAAGTGGGCTCAGGGTGGCTCACAACATATAATATAACAATAAAACTGATAATATAAAAATATTTTTACCTTAATTGCACTGTTGGCCTTGGCCTTATTTTTTATTTCCTAGTGACTGGTGTGGCCCTTTTATTTTCTCCCTCAGAGCACCTGTCTGCAAAATAATTCCTGCTTAGAGCTGTAATAACTTGCATGCCAAGATTCTGTGGAAGAGCAGGTTGATGAGTTGCATTATAAATAATGACTAGCAAACTGCTCTGAGTGTGGACACCAAGGACTGCCCAGGAGAGAAGGATATTTTCCCCTGCTAGGATCAGAAAGGAACTATACCTTTATAGTTCACTGATACTTGTTTTACTTCACTAATGCCAGCCTGTATTTTGCATGTATATAGTATTTGTAGGTTTTTTTTAAAGAACACTGAATTACATTTGGTTGACTTGTTACATAAGTAGTAAAACATATTAATCACAATACTACTGTCTTAAGATTCAGATTGTTGTGTAGTCAACACCTTTGGTACACTGAGGCCCCGGTCACACGGCAAAGTTGCCGCGGGAGAGGCACGGGAGTCCCGCGGATTTTCCGGCCGCAATCACACCCCAACATCTGGGAAGCGCAGTGCTCCCATGGTGAACCCTTGGCTCCCCGCCAAAGGTGCAAATTAAAAATCTAGTAC